GCATATCACATCATGTGTCATGCCCCCATGCTCACCAGCAAAATGGGTCAGCCGAACGCAAGCATAGACACATCGTTGAGGTTGGTCTAGCCCTCCTAGCTGGTGCTTCCATGCCCCTTAAATTTTGGGATGAAGCTTTTCTCATGGCTGTTCATATCATTAATATGCTTCCTAGCCGTGTTATAAATAATGAAACTCCCATCGAGCGCCTCCTTCATGTCAAACCAGACTACACTTCTCTACGTGTCTTCGGCTGTGCATGCTGGCCAAATCTCCGTCCTTACAACACCAGAAAACTCATGTTTCGCTCCAAACAGTGTGTGTTCCTTGGGTATAGTGCGCAACACAAGAGGGTCAAGTGTCTTGATGTCTCCTCCGGTCGTGTCTACATTTCTCGCGATGTAGTCTTTGATGAGACCAAGTTTCCGTTTTCTGACCTCCACCCAAACGCCGGTGCCTTACTTCGAAAAGAAATTCTTCTTCTCCCATCCACTCTCACCGGCCTTGATTCCAGGGATGATAACTGTGTTGACTCTATGATGACTAACCCGCTCACCACGTTGCATGAGTTGTGTGATGATACAGGAGATAGTGCAGATGCAGCCGGGCATGGAAACTCTGAAGAAATTGGTGAAAATCCTGAAGAAAACGGTGCTACAACACCATATCTCATGTGCCCCAGCTCAGGGAGCAAATCTCCCTCGGGATCGGTGCGTGCAGGGCCGACATAATCCGCCCCGGGATCCGCAGACGACAGGCTGTGCGGATCTGCCTAGGAGTCAGCGCCCGCCCGTGTCACGGCCGCGCCTGACGCTGCGCCCCATGCCCCGCACCAAACCCGCTCGCCCGCGTGGCCGCCTCCGACTGGCCCGACGCTCGCTCGCTTTCCGGTCCAACCGGTTTGCTACAAGCGGCGCGACCTGCGTCGCCCGACCGGCGCGGGCCCAACCACTGCTGGCGCGGAATCTGCGGCTGGCGTCAGGGGGGCCACGGGCAATGATGAGCCCGGATCTTCTGCGGCTGCTGCTTCGCCCGTGCACGTTGCTGCTTCGTCACCTGCCACAGAAGATCTGCTGCCGCTGGACACAGCTGCCGTCCCCGAATCCTCCTTGGGATCGGCGCATGCAGAAGCTCCTGTACGCAGCACGGGATCCTCTGTGCAGTCACCACAGCGTACACGGCTGCAAAAAGGGGTCATTCTACATGTTGACTACAAACATGTAACAAAATATGGTATGATTTGTTCAACAGGTGAGCCAGGTGAACCTTATACACTTGAAGAGGCACTTGGTGATGAACATTGGAGAAAAGTCATGAATGAAGAATACATGGCTCTGAAAAGAAATAAAACCTGGCACTTGGTTCCCCCACAGAAAGGTAAAAATCTTATTGATTGTAAGTGGGTTTTTAGGATCAAGAGAAAATCTGATGGAACCATAGATCGCTACAAAGCAAGACTTGTGGCAAAGGGTTTTAAACAACGGTATGGCATAGACTATGAGGACACCTTTAGTCCTGTTGTAAAAGCTGACACCATTCGTCTTGTGTTGTCTATTGCAGTTTCCAGAGGCTAGAGTCTCAGATAACTTGATGTACAGAACGCGTTTCTTCATGGTGTTCTGGAAGAGGAAGTGTACATGAAACAACCTCCTGGGTTTGAAAACAAGAATGCACCTTCTCACGTGTGCAAACTTGATAAGGCACTATATGGGTTGAAGCAGGCTCCTAGGGTGTGGTATTCACGACTCAGTGCAAAAATGCAAACACTTGGCTTTGTCCCCTCTAAGTCTGACACCTCATTGTTCATCTACAATAAATGCAACACACACATATTTGTTCTCATATATGTTGATGATATTATTGTTACAAGTTCATCTGATGAGGCTGTCACAGGACTGTTGAAGGATCTTAGTGCAGAGTTTGCTCTCAAGGATCTTGGAGAGTTGCATTATTTTCTGGGAATAGAAGTAAAGAAGCATGAGAATGGTATTCATCTCTCCCAAGAAAAGTATGCAATAGACTTGGTGAAGAAAGCTGGCTTACAAGGTTGTAAACCCTCACCCACTCCATTGTCTAGTTCTGAAAAGCTATCTCTTACAGAAGGGCAGCCCTTGAGCCAAGATGACAGCACAAAATACAGAAG